CCAGCCCCAGTATGGATTTTAAAAAAGACACGAGTGGGCTGGGAAGGTGGCTCAGTGGCAGAGCGCTTGCCTTGCATGCCTGAGGCCCTGGGTTTGATTCCTCAGCACCACATAAGCAAAAAGAAAAAAGCCAGAAGTGGCCCTGTGGCTCAAGTGGTAGAGTGCTAGACTTGAGCTGAAGAGCAGAGGGACAGCGCCCAGGCTCAGAGTTCAGGCCCCATGACTGGACCCCCCCCCCCCCCAAAAAAAAAAGACACTTGTTTTTTAGAAAAGTAAGCTTAAGTGAAGAGAATTCAGGGAAATAGTACACAACACAGGCATGAGTGAAAGTGTAAGGCCCACTCCTAGATGGCGAGAAGACTCCACCCTTCTCGTAGCAAAGTCTCCACCCAGTACCTGCATTACCTAGGCAACTGGCACACCTGGAAGAGGTCACATCTGCATCCGCTGAGGTCACATCTGAATTTGATGTGGCCACACCTTTCTCCGCCCATACCCTAGATAAGGCCTAGCCCAGGCCCAGACGCTCTTTCTCAGCTCTTTCCTTCTCAGCTCTTTTCCAGCTCTCTTCTCTTTCCCAGCTCTCTCTCTTTCTCAGCTTTCTTCTCTTGCCCAGCTTTCTCTCCCAGCTCTTTCCCAGCTCTCTTTCCTACCTCTTTTCCTAGCTCTTTCCCAGTCTTTCTCAGCTCTTTCCCAGCTCTTTCTTTCTCAGCTCTTCCCCAGCTCTTTCTTTCCCAGCTCTCTTTCCTAGCTCTTTCCCAAGCCTTTCCCAGCCATGTGGAGGGCCAAGATGGCCTGATGCCAGCCAGAACAATGAATAAACCTACTCCTTACCTGAATACCACGTGCATGATGCTGTTCTTACTTGGCTACCTCTTTTTAGAAACTTAACATAAATGGTGCCATTATGCCAACATGCTGACCAGTGTCTCCCTCAGCCTCATCAAGGCCCCTTTCCCACTCCCCCAATTTTGCCTGGTGATCAAGTGTTTCTCAAGACCCTTAATCCATCTGGTTTACACTCTAAGTGGACAGGCCCTCACCAGGTTTTGCTGACCACCCCCATAGCAGTCAAGCCCAAGGGACAGTCACAGTGGATTCACCTGTCAAGAATAAAAAGGGCTCCTTGCCCCTTCTGTACCAACACTGACTTCGAGGTACACCTGTTCCCCCCTTGGGGGGAGACTCCTTCTTGCAGACATCATGTCACTGGCAGACCTGGAAGCAGTCACCTTCCCCTCCTACTAGGTCACATCCCAGGCCACCTCTGGTAACATGCATCCCATCTGACCTTAGGAGGGTCCCAGACCCTGAGGTCACATTCAGATCCAGTGTGGCCACACTTTTCTCCCCACCTGGCCACACCTTTTCCTGTCCCTGGCCTAGATAAGTCCTGGCCCAGAGGTGGGTGGCCCTCTTCCTTCCCCCCAACTTTCCTTTTCAGCCATACTTCTCTACCATGCATGGCGGGGGTGGGGGGTGGGTAAACAGTTTGGTAAATAAACTTTTTTTCCTGCCTGAATAGCGTGTGGTGTTCTCTTTATCGGCTACCTAATGAAACCTACCTATTTAATATACCTTACAGAAAGCACATCTGATAACAGGGGCAAAAATGTTTTAGCATCATGGGTATTTACAATAAATATCATCTACCATGTGGCCAAGATAACACTGGTTAGAATCAGCATCCCTGCTTCAAATGGAAATCAGAGTTTTAGGCCAAGAGACCAATTGCAGATGTTCTGCGTGTTAGGCACAGCCACTTGCCCCAACATGACCAATAGATAGGTAATGGTAAAGGGAAGAAGAAGATTTATCAGCCTTGCTATCAAGCATCCACAGCTAACAGAGACACAGAAAACACTTCAGTTCATCTTCAGGGCACAGACATGAGTGTTAGGTTTAGATAGAAGAGAAATTTTGGGCAGGAGCAAAAGGCAAGCAGTCCTGCCAAAATATGGTATGGTTAGTTGGTACGGGGGGGGGGGGGGGGGGGGCTCATGCCTGTAATTCTAGCTACTCAGGAAGCTGGGATCTGAGATCTGAAATCAGCCCAGGCAGGAAAATCCATGAGTTTTTGTTGTTGTTGTTGTTTGTTGTCGGTTGTGGGGCTTGAAGAGGGGATGCTGGATCTAACGGGTGCCATCTTGGTCATGCGGTGGATAGGGAATTTCCTTTTACTGGTGCAATCTTGTCTTCCTAGTGGAAGAAGGGGAAATCCCATTTCCCAGGTGATGAATGTGCCTGAATTCTTAGAGGCAGGGGTGGGACTTGGACAATAGGTTACTGGACCTGCCAGTAGTGGGTCATGAACTTCCAAGCTCCCTGTGACCCTGCCCCTGACCTGACTCTAGTTTAGGTTCAGACCAGCTCAGACCTCATGCCAGGCCTCATGTGCTGTGTCCTTTCTGGCTCTCGTCCAGTCACCATGGTCTCCCACTTCAGCTTTCCATTGGGGTTGATCTGGGTTGTTTGTATTGTTTTTCTCCTCTGACTTTCCTGCTCTCATGGCTCAGGTTTCTAACATTGTTAAGTGTGTTAGACGGGCTGCAGGTCTTTTTGACAATAGTCTGCTTGCAGATGCTGGCTTTTTAATAAAAACTTCCATTTGACCTCTCAAAATGTGGCTTCTTTGTATCTCACCAATTGGATTCACCTTTCAACAAACTCAGGGTCTGGGTACTCTCCCTGAGCTTTTCACTCAAGGCTAGTTAGTGCTCTACCACTTTGAGCTACAGCACAACTTCCAGTTTTCTGGTGGTTAATTGGAGATAAGAGTTTCACAGACTTTCCTGCCCAGTTGGGCTTTGAACTGGGATTCTCAGATCTCAGCTTCCTGAGTAGTTAGAATTACAGGCATGAGACCCTGGTGCCTGCTTCATGAGATTCTTATTTCCAATTAAATACCAAAAAGCTGGAAATGGAGGTGTGACTTAAGTAGTTAAGTGGCAGCTTGAAGCAAAAAAGCCAAGCAAGAGTATAAGGCCCTGAGAGTTGAAGCTCCAATACTGGTGCTCCCACCCCCCCCCCCTCTCACACACACACACAACCTAGTTGATCATGATCTCAGTCCTCCTTATATCATCACAGAATTCATGGTATTCACAGTTAATGTTTTCCCACATCTAAAGTAGAACATCACTTATTTGACAAATATAGCACTTGCTGATACTGGAAATGTTTGTAATGGAACAATCGTACTTATGTTACTAACAATAGAGCAAGGTGCCAGTGGCTCATGATTGTAATCTTAACTATTGAGAAAACAGATCTAAGGATTGAGGTTCAAAGCCAGACTAGGCAGAAAAGTCACATGAGATTCTTATCTTTAATTAGCCAACAAAAAATAAAAAATGGAGGTGTGGCTCAAATGGCAAAGCACCAATCTTGATCTAAAAAGCTAAAAAAGAGCAACCTGACCCTGAGTTCAAACTGCATACTCCCCCTCACACACACAAAGAAGATATTAGCATAGCACTTTATTATTTAAGACCTACTTTCCCTTGCATTCTTCTTATAAGTCTCCAAATTACTTGCTGATGCTCTACACTATTCTATAATTAATATGCCTTAGGATATGAGCCTTTAAGAAACCATAGATCACTTTTTTTTTTTTTTTGGGTCCGGTCATGGGGCCTGAACTCTGGGCCTGGACGCTGTCCCTCAGCTCTTCAGCTCAAGGCTAGCGCTCTACCACTTGAGCCACAGCGCCACTTCTGGCTTTTTTCTTTTTGCTATTGTGGTGCTGAGGAATCGAACCCAGGGCCTCAGGCATGCAAGGCAAGCTCTCTACCACTGAGCCACCTTCCCAGACCCCCATAGATCACTTTCTTAGCTTACTGTTTTATTTTATTCATTTTTTCCATGCTGAGGATCAAACTCAGAGCCTTGAACATGCTTGGTCAGTACTCTATTACTGAGTTATTTCCCCAGTCCCTTAAACTTGTTCCTTGAAACACTAATTGCCAGCTACTCAGGAGATGGAGGCAAGAGGATTATGAGTTTGAAGCCAGTCAAGGTAAAGTTAGTGAGACCCTGTCTGACTCAAAAGCAAAATATAGGGCTGGGAATGTGGCTTAGTGGTAGAGTGCTTGCTTAGCATACATGAAGCCCTGGGTTCAATTCCTCAGTATCACATATATAAAAAAAGCCATAAGTGGTGCTGTGGCTCAAGTAGTAGAGTGCTAGCCTTGAGCAAAAGAAGCCCAGGGACAGTGCCCAGGCCCTGAGTTCAAGCCCTAGGACTGGCAAAAAATCCCCCCAAAACAAAATCAAAAGCAAATATAAGCAAAAGGCTAGGTTGAGCACTTGTCTAGCAAGCTTTAGATTCTGGTTTAGTATCTCAGGTTCTCTCTCTCTCTCTCTCTCTCTTTCTCTCTCTCTCTCTTTCTCTTACTCCCTCTCTCCCTTTCACAGTCTTTCTCAGCTCTTCTCCAGCTCTTTCTCTCTTTTCTCCCTTCCTTCCTTCCTTCCTTCCTTCCTTCCTTCCTTCCTTCTTTCCTTTCTTCTTTTTTTCTTGTTTTCGGTCCTAAGGCTAGAATTCAGGGCCTGATCACTGTACATAAACACTTTTGCTCAAGGCTAGAACTCTAACACTTCAACCATACCTTCACTTCTAGATATTTGGAGTTTAATTGGAGATAAGAGTCTCATAGGTTTTTCTGCTTAGGCTGGCTTTGAACCACAATTGTCAGATCTCAGCCTCCTGAGTATCTAGGATTACAGACATGAGCCACCAGTGCCTGGCTTAGTATCTCAGTTTATCCATAATTTGTACTTTGGCCTAGATACCTTTTCTATCCTCATTGAAGTGAGTTTAGGGACCAGATCACCAATTGTCTCCTGAAACTACAGCTAACTCTCTCTGAGGCCACTTAATCTGCCATGCTTTGCAAATTTCTTTGTGCCAAGACTCATTCTTTGATGTTTGTACCCTTTGTCTGAGACTAGTCTCAGAGTGAACTTAGTGTTCCACATGAGAGGGTAGGCTCACAGAAAAAGATGCTTTCTCTCACCACGCCCACATCACCATGAGGGCTTTCCTTTCTCTACTGCCGTGGACTTCTTGGGAACAAAGAAAAGAATACAAACTCTGCTATTCAGATTCTCATACCAAGACCACTGCAACCAGCAGCGTGAATGCTTGATCTGAACCAGGTGAGTTATGATAGTTCGTGATAGGATTATTGATTTCAAGGCTCAGAATCACTGGGTGGAGACTGATTTTTCAGATGGTAAAGAAGAGAAAATGAGGGTCTGGGAAGGTGGCTCAGTGGTAGAGTGTTCCCCTTGTATGCATGAAGTCCTGGGTTCGATTCCTCAGCAGCAGATAAGCAGAAAAAGCCGGAAGTGGTGCCATGGCTTAAGTGGCAGAGTGCTAGCCTTGAGCTGAAGAGCTGAGGGACAGAGCCCAGGCCAGGACTTCAGGCCCCACAACTGACACACACACATACACAGACACAGACATAGACACACACACACAAGAATAGAAAATGATACATTTTATGTTCTTTTGAACACAGAATCTCCTAAGAGTTTAGTTGCTCACTAGAGCTAGCTGGAGATTGATGGGTTCCTCAGTTTAAGTATAAAGAGAGGCCACACAAGGTGATTAATATATTAATATATTTCTCTTACTTCCTCCCCCCTCCCATTTCATTCATGGCTTACATATTCTGCCAGATACTTTTCTTTTTTTCTTTTTCTTTTTTTTTAGGGGTCCAGTCATGGGGCCTGAACTCTGGGGCCTGGGCGCTGTCCCTCAGCTCTTCAGCTCAAGGCTAGCGCTCTACTACTTGAGCCACAGTGCCACTTCCAGCTTTTTTCTTTTTGCTTATGTGGTACAGAGGAATCGAACCCAGGGCCTCATGCATGCAAGGCAAGCACTCTACCACTGAGCCACCTTCCCAGACCCCCAAATACTTTTCTATTTCCTATAAACTTTATTATTTAATGAGAGTAATCACCATGTAGCCTGGGAACCACTCAGTAAAATAAAGCCCAGGTACTTTCACTGGCAGGGGAAGGAGTTTTAAAGTTTTGCTCTAGCCAGGCACTGGTAGGGTATTCAGAAAGCTGAGATCTGAGAATCATAGTTCAAAGATAGGCTAGGTAGAAAGTCTGTTGGACTCTTTTTTTTTTTTTTAGTCCGATCATGGGGCCTGAACTCTGGGCCTGGACGCTGTTCCTCAGCTCTTCAGCTTAAAGCTAGCGCTCTACCACTTGAGCCACAGCGCCACTTCCAGTTTTTTTCTTTTTTGCTTATGTGGTGCTGAGGAATCGAACCCAGGGTCTCATGCATGCAAAGTAAGCGCTCTACCACTGAGCCACCTTCCCAGCCCTCTGTTGGACTCTTAACTCCAATTAATCACCCAAAATTCAGAGGCAGAACTGTGGTAGAGTTCCAGTCTAGAGTGAAAAGCTAAGGGACAGTGCCCAGGCTCTTCTCTTATAGTACTAAATCAATTGATTAATCAGTTAATTAATTGATAAAGTGGAGCTCCACCCACAGAAATATTTTATTGTACTTCCTTCTCTCTTCCCTGTGCACTTACAGGTGACCCTGGTAGCTGACATGGCATCTTCTCTGAAGGTCTGGGGCAGTCTTGTGGCTCTCCTCTGCCTCCAGTGCAGGCTACTTGTTCATGGCCATGACATTTCCAGGAAGGAGTTTATGGCAGAGCACTATCTAAATCCAAGCCAACAATTTCATGTGTACAGATGTGATGTACTTATGAGGGAGAAAGCTCTGAAACACAAGACCTCTCACCTGTTCATTTATGCCTCCTGGTACAAAATCAAGCAAGTATGCAATAGTGTCAACTGGAAAAAGCTTTACAGAAATGCCTACATATGGGCCCAGACTCCCATCAAAGTGCTCAAGTGCCACTGGAATAGTTTCACAAATAGCTACAGAGAGATCAGGAGCTACAGCTATGTTCAGTTCCATTGTAATATGGATGGGTATGTGGAAAGCATAGAAGACATGAAGACTATAGACACTGTCTTCTACTAGAAAGACTGTGTCAGCCCCAGGGCTTTGTTGTTGTGATGTTCTTGTTTATTTTTTTTCAGATTGGTTCTTGCATTTTTGCTTAAGCTGCCCTTGAATCAAAATCCTCCTATCTATGCCTCCTGACCTGCTGCAATTATAGGTGTGCACTACTCTGCTGTGTTCCAGATTTGGGGAGAGTATTTAGTAGTTCTCAAGTGGTGCCTCCAGCCTATATAGCCACCATTACTCCTTGATTTGCATTTGTGTATCAATGTTTTTCAATCATTTGTTATGTATCACATAGATTTTTGAAAGTACAAATTTGTTTTACAGTGTTCTTTGTGTAGAATATGACTCTGTCCTCATTTACTTAATTCACTTCTGCTTTTTTATTGTTGTTCCAGTGCTGAGGCTTGAACTCAGGTTCTGGGTGCTGTTCCTTAGCTATGCATCCAAGGTTGGGGCTCTACAACTTGAACCACAACTCCACTACTGGCTTTGTTGATATGAAAATAATACTCTAAAGTATGGTGCTTTGTAATACTAAGTGCTTTTGTCACAAGGTAAAGGTTAAGGTTTGAAATTTCTCTTTAAAAGTAAGGACTCAGCTGGGTTGTGGTGGCTCACACCTGTAATCCTAGCTACTCAGGAGGCTGAGATCTGAGGATTGCAGTTCAAAGCCAGCCTGGGCAGGAATGTCCTTGAGACTCTTATCTCCAATTAACCACCAGAAAACCAGAAGTGGTGCTTTGGCTCAAGGGAGAGTGTGCTTGCCTTGAGCTGAAGAGCTCAGGGACAGTGCCTAGACCCAGTTCAAGCCCCACAACCAACAAAAACAAAAAATACAAACAAATAAAAGTAGGGACTCTTCACTTATGGTCCTTGACTCTGATGGCCAAATAGGAATTTCTGGACAAGTCACAATGGTAAGAAAACTGGGCACAGCTTTATTGAGTAGGCAAATAAGCAAGCAAACAGAGAAGCAGACATGCAGACAAACAGAAGGGCAGAGATACAAGCTAACAAAGTGTGGATGCTCTAGAAGAGAGACACATACAGGTATTTATATGGTAAAGGTAGGGGGTCAGACTTAAAAATAGGAAAAGATAGGAGTTTATCTTTGCTCTCAGTTACTCTTCATGTTGTTACACTTTCTGAGTTCCTGGGTCTTGTCTAGCATTCTGGTTGTTTACATTTTAGGTCCATCCTTTAGTAACGTTTGGGGAGCATTTCTCTCCCTTCTTTGAGCCCCCTATTTTGCATATCTCCCATAGATTTATAGGTAAGTACATTCCTGCTCATCTGTCTATTGTCAGTTTATTTTATTTTATATATTTGTGCCAGTAGTAGGGCTTGAATTCAGTGTCTAGGTACCATCCTTAGTACTCTACCACTTGAGATATACCTATACTTCTGGCTTTTGGCTGGCTAATTACATAAGACACTTGGACTTTTCAGCTAGGGATGGTTTTTATGAGACAAGTTCTCCTTTTTTTTTTAAAAATTCAAAGGACTGGGAAGGTGGCTCAGTGTTAGAGTGCCTGCCTACTATGAGTGAAGCCCTGAGCAAAAAGCTCAGGGACAGTGCCCAGGCCCTGAGTTCAAGCCCCAGGCCTGGCAAAAAAAAATTCAAAGTAAGTTGCTTTAAAGTTTCTGCTTCAGCTAAGTGGCTTGGCTATTGTTGATTATTCTGCTAAGATGACATCAGCAAGTAAAGAAGGGAAAGAGGAATTGCTTTGAGATAAGGAAGGATTTTTTTTTTTTTTTTTTTTTTTTTTGGGTCCGGTCGTGGGGCCTGAACTCTGGGCCTGGGCTCTGTCCCTCAGCTCTTCAGCTCAAGGCTAGTGCTCTACCACTTGAGCCACAGCGCCACTTCCGGCTTTTTTTCTTTTTGCTTATGTGGTGCTGAGGAATCGAACCCAGGGCCTCGAGCATGCAAGGCAAGCGCTCTACCACTGAGCCACCTTCCCAGCCCAAGGAAGGATTTTTGAAATGTCTTTAAGGTATGTCTTTAAGACACATCTCAGATACTTCAAGAGATCATAGAGGGTTTGGGTATTGAAAGCCTTAGACCAGAAGACCGTGCAGAGACCAAGTCATATACAGGGCTGGGAAGTGGATTGGGGGTGGAGAATTCCACTAGGGGAAGAGGGTACTCTGCTCACAGCTAGAAACTAAAGATAACATGAAATTCCAGGACTGAGTGAGGGCTAAGATTTATGGTTGTAATTGTAGGGCAGGAGATTACTTTAAGGGGGACAGTTGTTTCCTTTTATGGTTGTAGCTTGCCAAATGGGGACATTATTTTAAGGGATACTGTTGTTAAGGCTTGCAGCTGCCTGCTCCAAATAGCCCTGTGTCAGCTACTTCAAAGGAAGGGCCATACTTCATTACAAGGCTAGAGATGGAGTGTCTTCTCAGGTGGAAGAGATCAGGCTAACATTCTTCCCTTTTGTGTTTAATAGGTACAGGTACTGGGCCAGGAGCAGGGGTGAGGGTCTGTCTTCTGAAGCTGCTTCCTGCTGAAAGTGTGCAGAGTAAACAAGATAGGGCTTCCCTGAGTTGATGTTTGGCTGGGTACCATCTGAGAAGCAGCTGGTTGAAAGTCTGATTGGTAAAGGTCCTTTTCCTCTCCACAAGAATGCTCTGTAAATATCTAAAAAGGCAAGGTACAATCAATAAAAGGCAAAAAAATTGCTGCTAGCAGGCCCATAAAAGGCATAAGTCAGGTAGTAATTGGTCCCCAGAAGGGGCTGTCAAAAACCTTAGTCCTGCTGGGCGCTGGTGGCTCACCCCTGTAATCCTAGCTACTCAGGAGGCTGAGATCTGAGGGTCGCAGTTCAAAGCCAGAGTGGGCAGAAAAGACTGTGAGACTCCTATCTCCAATAAACTACTAGAAAACCAGAAGTGGCACTGTAGCTCAAGTGGTAGAGCATTCGCCTTGAGCTGAAGAGCTCAGGGATGGCACCCAAGCCCAGAGTTCAAGCCCCACGACCAAAAAAAAAAAAAAAAAAACCTCAGTCCTGGTTGGACCTTAATCTCACAGCTAACTATTTTAGAGCTTTGATGTTTTGCTCTACTCTGCCAGTCATATTAACATAGTAGCAACACTCCTCTCCCAGGAAAAGGCAAATCTCCCTTTTTTTTTTGTCAGTCAGTAAATCTAGGGCCCTTCTGCTTTGGAGGGCCAAGTCAGCCAGAGAGTTTGGCTGAGTTTGTAGCAAGTTAAGAGCCTCTATGATCTCTTTGGCTGAGGACTCTAAGGCTTCATGTACCTGATTGTTGGAAGTTATGGAGTGATACAGACCCCTGAAGCTAGTCCTATGGATGCTACCATGGTTACCAAACTTATTCCCATTAAAAAGGGAAGGAGGAAGACTTATCTCTGTTAGCTTGGGATCTTAGGGAGGTCTTCATCAGCCAGCACCTGAAGTTCAGTGAAAGTGCATAGCATGTACTGGGGGACTGGAGTTACTAAAATGCAAGAGGAAGGTGTATTAGGCCCAATACATAATGATAAGGAAGATTCACACCAAAATAGCATTCCACTGGGGGCTTTGATGACCAATTTAGGTAAAACCTTGGTTAATCATAACAAGAAAATGGAGGATGTCTTGTTCATCTTGGAGACAAAGCACAGTATCTGACTCCCTATATCCTGGAGGGGAAAGTAAGATTTCTCCAGCTTTATCTGGAACCTGAGGAGGAGGTGGCAGAAATATCTAAAGGTACCAGAGCCAACAGGTATACCGCACTGTAGGTTGGCACACAGAAAGCAATTCTTGGTGGAAATGTTAAGGGCTTGAAACATCAATAAAGATTAAGTAAACTGGCTCAGGTCAAAGGCTCTTAGGATGATATGGAATCTTGGAGTTGGATTGTTGGCTTTTTGATGGGGGAAAGAGCCTTTTGCAGTAATGCCTTAAGGTTAAGGGCCTTCCTTTTAATGACTGCCTGGGCATCATGGTTGTTTATAGTTCCCATTTTTCCTATGACTGCCTGGGCATCATGGTTGTTTATAGTTCCCATTTTTCCTATTTCCCACTTCTTTTTTTTGGGGGGGCGGTCCGGTCGTGGGCCCTGAACTCTGGGCCTGGGCGCTGTCCCTCAGCTCTTCAGCTCAAGGCTAGCGTTCTACCACTTGAGCCACAGCGCCACTTCTGGCTTTTTTCATTTTGCTTATGTGATGCTGAGGAATCGAACCCAGGGCCTCAGGCATGAAAGGCACGCACTCTACCACTGAGCCATCTTCCCAGCCCCCTATTTCCCACTTCTTATTTATGGAAGAGCTGATTGTGAAAGTTAGGTTACAGCAGGTTGGGATTAATGGGGAAGGGGTTGTTACACTGGATGCCACCTGAAAACAGGGATCCTCATGTCCCTTAGTGCTCCCCTTCTTATTGTTTTGGATGTGTGATTACTGTAGGTTTTTAAGTTTTTATCACCCAGGCTGAAGAGGCTTAGAAGAAGCCCAGGACTGTAACAATGATAATTACAAGACCAGGAAGGGCAGTCAAACCACACATTATCATGATGGGATTTTTTTTTTTCTGATTGGTTGTGAAGCAAACATATGTAGGTGGGGAGTGCATACAATCTCCTCAGGTTGTATAGTTGCAGATACATGCCTTTTTTTTTTTTGGGTCTGGTCGTGGGGCCTGAACACTGGGCCTGGGCGCTGTCCCTCAGCTCTTCAGCTCAAGGCTAGCGCTCTACCACTTGAGCCACAACACCACTTCCGGCTTTTTTCTTTTTGCTTATGTGGTGCTGAGGAATCGAACCCAGGGCCTCTGGCATGCAAGGCAAGCGCTTTACCACTGAGCCACTTCCCAGCCTGATACATGCCTTTTTAAGGTCAAAGTTGAGGATGACTGGAGAGTTGTAACCTCCAGTAGGACACCAAGTGGATGCTACACCTGGTTGGATGGAACAGAAATCATATAAAAATTGTAGACAGGGGCTGGAAAGGTGGCTCAGTGGTAGAACACTTGCCTTGCATACATGAGGCCCTGGGTTCCATTCCTCAGCACCACATAAGCATAAAGAAAAAAGCCGGAAGTGGTGCTGTGGCTCGAGTGGTAGAGCACTTGCTTTGAGCTGAAGAGCTGAGGGACAGCGCCCAGGCCCAGAGTTCAGGCCCTACGACCGGACCAAAAAAGAAAAATTGTAGACATATGCAGAGGATTCTGGTGAGGAGGCTTGTAAGGGGATAACCAGCAGGAAGAGGGTGAGGAGTCTCAGAACCATTGCAGAAAACACAGGAAAAGATAGAAGGAAAGGCAGAGGATGTGGTTTCCTAGGCTCAGCAGTATCTGATGAGCCAGAGACCAGTCTGTTGGGGCTGCTACTCCCAGGCCATTCCCTGGGAGAAGACAGGTTGTCATGATAAAGAGACCAAC